CAAATTGCTTTTGCACCAACATACAAGCATGCTAAACACCAGAACAGTGCAATGGCTTACTTTATATCCACAGAAAAGAACAATCTCCAAAGATGCCTTTTCAAGTTGTTTTTTAAACTAATGAAAATAGCAGAAGTTAATGATTTACTTTAATTATTTCGCCTGACATCTTTACTAATCCAAAATATTTAAAATGTTTATTTTTATCCAAGGTAACCATACCATCAGAATCTTATACCGGACTATGCCTACTGAGGATTTTAATCCCATCTGAATAAAAATGTTTGCGCCCACGTTTTGGCCACCATAAAATACCTTAGACATTTGCACCACTGCATATATTTTCTGCTTGGTGTGTGCCATTAATCATGTATGTACAAGTGTTTGCATTCAGATGTAGAAAATCTATATTCAAGCCAGATCATGTACACAGAAAAAAACTTTAAAATTGCACTTTAAAGCTTTTTTTTTTTTTTTTTTTACATTTTTGAGCTCTCAAAATGCAGTTGTCATGTAAATAAGCAACTCAAATGCATATGTGTTGAGTTTTTAGTCTGAAAAATCTGGGTCAGGTTTGTGATGACCTAAATAGTTTTTAGATGTCATTCAAGTCTAAACAAGTCAGTTCTTGGAAAATAAAGAGATAAGCCTGGAGCAAAAATGAACAGCATGACAAGATGCAGTCATGCAGTATATTAATAAGAAAAAACAATGAACGACGTTTACTTTGTAAGTCAGAATCTAAATTAGAGCTAATCAATAGCAGGAGCACATGCTATGAATCAATGAGCTAAATAAAGCTGTGAATGGAAACCACCAGCTAAAGTCTTGATACATGAATCCTTGTGCACTGTTCAAATTGACTACCCTTTTATTATGTTTCGGATGAAAACATTTCCTGAATTAAACTGCAATAAAATTCATCAGATAAATATTTTTTCAATTTTGTTTGTATAAATCTTTTAATCAACCTCAGTCTTGATCAAAACTACTAAATTGGTTAGAAAATTGCAGGATTTTATCTCTTTAATTGCCAAGTTTACAATTGATGCCAGTGATTTGGTGAAAATAAAACACAACATGATGCATTTTTAATATAAAAAGTAATTGTGGACTGTATTTTTTAAAAACCTTTTATTACAGTCTTGGACATGTGAACGATCAGTAACAACATTGGATTTGATGTATTGTTATATTTTCTTTTTTTCTCTCTCTAATTTACTGTTGGTGGCTGTTTTTGTACCATTGACTTCCATTATAAACACATTTGATGGTGCATAAATACACAGTTAATGGTGCGAATGGATGATCAACAGTAAACTACTAATTTGACCTCTTCCCAACAGGGAAACCACCAACAATCAAGAATGCATGATTATATGGTGTCATGGTTTTGCAATCCAAAAAGTGTGGTTATAATGGAAGCCAATGGGGCAAAAACTATACAGTAAATTAAAAAAATTACAGTAAATTATGGAGAAAAAAATGAAAATTAATCAAAAACTATGCATCAAAGCCAATGTTGTTTCACATGTCCAAGACTTTGATAAAAGGAAAAAAACAAATTCAGTCAACATTTTTTATTTATATTGAAAATACGTCATTTTGTGTGTTTTTTTCACCAAATCAGTGACATCATTGTCAATTAAAGAGTTAAAATCCTGTAATTTTCCAAGAAATTTAGTAGTTTTAATCAGGACTAAGGTTGATAAACAGATTTATGTAAAAATAATAATAATAATTAAAAAAATTATATATATATATATATATATATATATATATATATATATATATATATGATGCATTTTTACAGAAGTTTTATTCAGTGGATGTTTTGATTCCGAGCATAACAAAAGGGTAGTCAATTTGCTGAGTGTATTGTTAAGGGTTTTTTTTTTGTTTTTGTTTTATCAAAAAAAAAAACATCAGAGGCTTTACTTAATGTGCGTCAAAATAAAACTTGTCACCAAATTCATTCAGCTAGCTGAAAGAACGAAAAAGTTATGGCCATATTAGGACTCAAAATTACCCATGGGTGCATTTCCCAAAACCATTGTTAGCCAACTAAGGTCGCAAGTTCCATTGTTAGAAAGTTCGTTGATTTGGCTTTTCCCAAATCCATCGTACCAACGAACATTCGCAAACAGCGTCGCAAACTTGTGGAAACATAGTTTCTGGCTTTGTTCTATTCTCAATTAACCCTCCTATGCCCTATTCATTTAGAACATTCTAACAGTTAAACTTGGAATTATTAAAAAAGCATTAAGGTCATCTCTCTTAGGTGTAATTTGTTTTCAAAGTATTTGTACAGTTCACTTTTAGTAATCTTTATGTTTATAATTGCGCTCTCTTCGCAGTGCACTTTGAAAACATTGATGTCATTTTAAAACAGCCGTGGCTCATAACAGAAGCTTTAGATGACCTTTTATTAAAAGACGGAATTTACATTATGTCTCCAAAGCGTGTGAAGACAAAAACATAGCATACATTAACAGTTTTAATTTATAGGTTATTTATCTGTACTGCATATGACATGGGCCTGTTGGTTAGAACATTTCTGCAGTGGTTTGCATGTGTCAAATTGTAAAAGTAGACTTTTACAATAAATAAATAAACAAACAATATCCTACTTTGATAATAGTTATAATCATCGTCACCATTACCTTCATTAATTTTCAGCGAAACTACGGGTTTTGGGAAACACTCATCACTACATCTTTACCCAAACGATGCATCGCACTTTGCTAGTTCAACCATGAGTTACGTCCTTGTTTGGGAAACGCACCACAGAGTGGACGAACATCCATCCCTAACAGTGCATAAGGGTTAAAAATAACACTTGCATGTTGATTGTGTCAAGCATTATCATAACTGTGCTTAATTTAGAAGATTATTTCTGTCTCAGCCAGAGACACAAAGTTCAGCACGTTAGTCACTGACCTTTCTGGAGTTTTCACTTAATCTCACTGAGAACGAGTGTGGTTAGATTAGAAACTTCCAGGTATTTACTTTCATCTTACTCTGTGGGAAGAGGTTGGCAGTGTTGTACTTAATCACAGTTAGGCTTCTTACTCCAAACATGTAAACACACCCTGTGCTTGACGACACCGTTTACAATGACAAAGGTATCTTTTGTAATGTGGCGAGAATTCTGGAAGGTTGTTTGCATTTCGGATTTGTCCTGTTTCTATGCAATTATAATGCTAATCAGGACAATCAAAGGAAAGCGCTAACTACTGTCTGTGAAAGTGTATCATTATAGTTTCTGTAATTGCTGGAGAAAATGTCAACAATTAATGTGATTTACTAGTCTACATTGATCAATGTCAGCTGGTGTTTGTTTTACAAAGACTACTATCAAATTTACAGATCTAAAGTCAGCGGTAAACATTAATTGAGGCCTTCAGATGAAAAACCATATGAAGTCCATATTTTCACATTGTGAGAATTAGGATTTTTTTTCAGATGGATTGTCAACATAATATAATATATATTTATTTTACTTGAAGATAGACAACAAACACTTCTCAATTCTAAGGAAATAAAAGTTTTCAGTGTCAGCATTAAAAATCAAAAGTTATTGTGATTTATATCTCTCAAATGTGGAAGAACGCTATATGTCCAGTTAGTGTGGAATAACAGTATAACTCCAAATCATCAGATCACATTAGCCAGTAAATTCCTTTATTTTGATTTTATTTCAGTAACACAAACTTCAGGTTGTTATTAAGCACTTCTTTCAAGTTTATTATTATCATTTAAAAACAGAAAATAAAATATGAATAATGTACAATACATAGTCCTTCTTACAATACAGGCAATAAAAATCAAGTATTAGCAACAAATAAATAAATACATACAATGCAGACAATCGTCATAGTTAACTATTGTCGTATATTATAAAGCTGGCACAGCGAACCTGTGCATATGCTACTTAAAACTGTTCTCACGCTCTGCCATCTCACGATATAAATAAATATTATGAACATAAATATATATAAACAATATATAAAATACAATATATACAAATACAGTATATACAATTCAAATAAACTCTGTTTGCCGTAGTTTCCCAGCAGGCACACAACATCATAAGATGTTAATAATAGGTTAGAGTTAGGTCACACATACAATTATGTCACATGGTCACATTGTCACATCTCTTTTTATTTATTTATTTTTATTTTTTTGGACCTATACTGTTGTTAATCGCACTCACTCAATTGTTTACCTAAAACTAAAAATTGACTCACCATTTTATTCACTCTCAAGTGGTTCAATGTTTTTTTCTCTCTCTCTGTTAAACACAAAAGAAGACATTTTGAGGAATTTTGGAAACAGGTCGACATTGGTCGACAATAGTCTTAAAAAGAAGCTAAATAACATAACATAACACATACTTTTACATTACATTAATTTAAAAGAAATTAAAGTAACATTTAGGTTTTCATTTTTTAAAAACATTGTAATATATTACTTTTTAAAGTAACTTTACAAAACATTGTAATGACTTCCGGTTTTCTAAATTCTCAGAGCGAAACTCAAACTTGTTTGGAGCAGGGTGAGGCTGAGTAAATGACAGAAATTATTGTGTGAACTGCCCTTAAATACAGAAGAAGCACACACACTGTCATGCTTTTCACCTAGAGTTTTTAATGTATATAGAAAAATATGTAAATATTATATATAATATCATATTAGTCTTGTTGATGCTTTCTATTCTTACTCCTTTGCATTGTGTTCATCACATGCTGAGCTTTTATTCTGTAAACGTCATCGAACAAAAATACCCTCAGCCTTCTATATGGCGGATGTAATTTGACACCGCGTCCACACGCGCGCCTCGCCTTTGACTCATAGGAGGACGTTCTTTGAACTGACTGGCGAATGAATTTGCTGTATGCAAATATTCGAACATGATTGGACAAGTAAGTCTACACCCGGCACGAAAGGCCCGCCTCCCAGGTTAAAACTGAAAGGAAATTTCCATTCAATCGCTCATTCAAATTTCTTCGTCGAAGAAGGTTCTGGCAAACCGAGACTCGTAAAAATATTTGATTTCTGCTACTTTCTTAGGTAAGTTTTTTTTAAAAACCCAGCATTATGTTTTATTACTGAAATATATTTAATATATTAACTTTAAATGTTTATTTGTACAAATGGAAATATTATGCAGCCAGCTTTCCACCCATATGCTTACCGGTGTTACGGTTTAACTGGTGACCGTGTTAACTGGTGTCCCTTTCCAGATGTAAGCTATTCACGTTTGCAGATTGGCAGATTCGTCACTTTTTCACAGCAACAAAACATGTCCATACCAAATAAAGATTCTTATTACTTGGTGTCAGTGTCATTGTGTGCATTATTGATTTTAATATCTGTGTAGCAGAACAGTATATAACCAAAGTAAATAAAAAAAATTATTAGAATTGACATGTCTTTAACAGGATTCGAACCCGTGTAGTGAAAAGATTTAGCACACGTATCAGTCAACTTATCTAACTGAGCTACTCAGAACTCCAAGCGAAGCGGTCTGTTTTAGTATCTTTGTCAATTAAAACATGCCTTGCTGTGGTTGTGGACCCGTGTTAACATGTTTCCATCGATGTTAACATGTTTATATGTTGTTTAGTTACATGTACTCGCGTTAACGTGTTTCTACAAACTCTCCCGCTGATAGAATAGCTCTCTGTGACTAAACGATGCTTCATCAGTTGCTCAAACCATGTTTTTCCTTAGTTCTAGACTCATGTCTACCTGTGCCTTTGGAGTCGTGTTAAGTCGTGACCCATGCTCATACATGTAACGTAAATAAAGATTTTATCCAAAAAATGAATACAATGACGATATTATTATGCAACGTATTATGTCTAATATATATAATATATATTTCATATATAATATTATGCAACAGAATATTAGAATATTATGCAATCAGAATATAATAGTCCCATTGACTCGTGTTAGTCTGTGTCTACAAAGTTACACGAGCTGATATTTTCTCAGAACAGCTCTAAATGACTACGATGTTCCGCTAAATAAGCATACGTTATAAATCGCAGTCCCCCCACATTTTATTTTAAAGAGAATTAAAAAAATCAGGCTACATAAACAAAACTCGTATGTGGATTCGAACCTACTAACAAAAGAGAAGCATGATTGGAACATACGTGCTATCTAATTGAGCTATCAAGCACTGTTGAAACGTAAGGCTTAGCAGCTTTTAGTTATTTTATCGTATGTAGCCAAATCATGTTCATAAGTACCTTGATACAGATGTGACCAAGATCATACATTGAAATGTTGCGATTTTCAATTAATATTCTGTTGCATAATATTATATATGAAATAAATATTATATATATTAGACATAATACGTTGCATAATAATATCGTCATTGTATTCATTTTTTGGATAAAATCTTTATTTACGTTACATGTATGAGCATGGGTCACGAGTTAACACGACTCCAAAGGCACAGGTAGACATGAGTCTAGAACTAAGGAAAAACATGGTTTGAGCAACTGATGAAGCATCGTTTAGTCACAGAGAGCTATTCTATCAGCGGGAGAGTTTGTAGAAACACGTTAACGCGAGTACATGTAACTAAACAACATGTAAACATGTTAACATCGATGGAAACATGTTAACACGGGTCCACAACCACAGCAAGGCATGTTTTAATTGACAAAGATATTAAAACAGACCGCTTCGTTTAGAGTTCTGAGTAGCTCAGTTAGATAAGTTGACTGATACGTGTGCTAAATCTTTTCACTACACGGGTTCGAATCCTGTTAAAGACATGTCAATTCTAATAATTTTTTTTATTTACTTTGGTTATATACTGTTCTGCTACACAGATATTAAAATCAATAATGCACACAATGACACTGACACCAAGTAATAAGAATCTTTATTTGGTATGGACATGTTTTGTTGCTGTGAAAAAGTGACGAATCTGCCAATCTGCAAACGTGAATAGCTTACATCTGGAAAGGGACACCAGTTAACACGGTCACCAGTTAAACCGTAACACCGGTATATTTATTGTTATTCAGTTGGATCATACTTTCTTAATATGTATGTGATAGAGTTGTGTTCTGTCATATATTGACACGTATTTTATCAGCTTTACGTTAGTTTGCCGTGTAACTAACCAGGAAATTAAACCGTTAGTCAAAACCCGGCAATTCATTTCCGCTTTTCTAGAAATGCTGACTGAATTTCATTAACCGCCTTTTGAAGTGGTGCTTTCTTTCATTTATAAGTGCATTTCCCTCACTTTAGCATTGCACTATCATTATTATTATTTTATAAGTATAATAGTTAATAGTACATACATATTTAAATGCAACTGCTAAAAAATGTTAAACTATCCTATTTGTAAATAAAGAAAATTGCAATCGAAATAACATAAAATGCATGTTTATTTGCAAGCCTGAAGCAATGGGCGTGTGAGAAAGGAATGTTACTGAAGCATGTCAGGTTCTGAGTAATCTAGATAAGGTAACATTCCTTTGAGGTGAACTGGCAAAATCTAACCCTAAAGTTCTTAAAACCGCAAGCCTGTGCTGTTCCTTCTGTTTGTTTTGTTAAATTGTAAATTTTATTTGTATAATTCGACACCTTGGTTTTAATAATAATATTACATCAGTGAAAAGAAATTAATTCAATAGAGAGGGTATCCAGTTTCACTCACAAAGCCAACCCCCCTTTGAACACACTTGCGCAGTAGAGCAGATGCGCGCGCAGTTACACTAGCCGGAAGTTGCCCGTCCCTTTTGACCTTATGGGTCAGTAGTGTTTTGGACAGTGGATTAAAGCGTCATGAGATGCGTAGGAAGAGCTTATGACAGTGAGTTGTAAGTTATTTTTTTCCGGTTTTAAAGCTGTCTGTTAACAGCCCCTGTGTTTTTCCGTCAGATCTCTGCTACTGAAGTTCAGACTTCATTCACTCGATCACACAAGAAGCTCTCGACAAACTTTCCAGTTTCATCACATCGCTGAAGTTTTACCATGTCTCAACAAATCAGGTAACATTGAGGAGAGCCTGTGAATCATTAATATATAATGTTTTATTTAATCAAGTTGTTTATTTTTAGTTTTTCAGCTTGAATGTCTTTTTTGATATTAATGATTAAGCACCCTTAAGTTTATTGTATTATTACATACAGCCAAATGTTTACTACTTTTGTTATGTTGACAATTAATTTATTCAACAAGAGTTATTCTTATTATGCCATGTAATTTTAATGATTATTGACAAAAACAAACATTAGATTTACTTTTAATTGTTAAGTGTTCAATTGTAGCTTTTAAAGTTATTTTAATAGTTAAATGTTGCTCTTTTTAATGTTTATTTTCTTTTTTAATGGCATTTCATATTAATGAGTTTGATTTTGAGATTTATAATGGTTAATTTCTTTATTTTATCCTTAGTTTGTTTATTACAATTTTTATTATGTTACTATGATTGAATGCAACAAGCTACTCTGAATTTTTTTGAAGGTCATTTATTTGTAGTTGGAAATTGTTTGATGTTTAATTTTAGAAAGTGAATGTATTCTTGAAATTAATGCATTCGACAAGTTCACATAGTCCCTTTAAATTTATTACATTCAACTTATTTGAAATGATTAAATCTTCAGTGAGATTTTAATTAGTTTATTTTTAGTTTCATCTTGAATGTCTCCTGATATTATTGATTTAACTAGGGTTAGATATTATTGATTTCTTAGGCTTATTGTATTATTGCATATTGACAAATATTCACTTTTTGCTATTTTGAAGATTTATTCAAGTTATTAATTTATATAAGTCTTATTCAAGAAGATAATAGTATAGTTTTTTTATCAACATTAATTTCTCTATAGAAGCATGTAATTTATTTGACTTGATTTGACAAACTTTCGATTTACTTTTTTAGTAATTAAATGTTCAGTTGTAGCTTTGCAAGTTATTTTTATTTGTTAAATGGTCCACTTTTTAATGTTTATTTTCTTTTTTAATGGCTTGAATATGATTGTATTTAAAATATTTAATTTCTTTATAATATCCATTGTTCATTATTATTTTTATGTTCCTTTATTTTAACTTGACAAGCTATTTTGAGTATTTGATGTATTTTTGAAGTAGTTTAAGTGTTTGTATTTATAGAAAATGTAATTAATGTAAATATTTTTTGATATTAATAAATTTGACAATTTCCATATAATCCCTTTTAAATTCATTACATCCACTCCTTATTTGAAGTAATTCAATTTTAGTAGGATTGTGTACATAATTAGACTTCATATTTAGCATTTTTCAGTTTTCTTTCGTATACTTCAGACATGCCTTCATTTTATTAAAAGCATATACTTTTTTCTCTCCTTTTAGCCTCCCAGCCAAACTGATCAATGGTGGCATTGCTGGCATTGTTGGGGTCACTTGCGTGTTTCCCATCGATTTAGCCAAGACCAGACTCCAGAACCAAAGACAAGGCCAGCAAGTCTACAAGAGCATGTAAGTGCTCTTCAAACCTCTCTCAATGCTTCAAACCTTTACATTTCATAAATACATTGGCGTAGCTCAATGTCAGTCCTCACTCTGATTTGATAAGCTGGCTTGCACTGCTGGCTAATCCTTCTGGAATGTGTGATGCAGTCAGACGTTAGTTTCCGCCTGACGTGACGCTCCACCACTATGGTCACTGCATAGGCTTATAAGGATTAAGACCAGACTGTGTCCAGTAAATGATGTAAACACATACTGGACACACCGCACGTAGTGAGCATAGCACACGTGACTTTTGTTGCCAATAGAGGTTAATTTGATACACAATAGTAATAAAGTCCTTTACGTAAACAAGAACATTAAAATAATCACAAAAGTAAGAGATATTTAATAAAACTGATTAAAGTTTTAATGAAATATGCATTTTTATTTGATGTTTTTGATGAAATTTCAACCGAAACACGAAGAGAGGGTGGAACAAAGTGTAGCTGCTCCCTCTTAAAAGCAACCAATAGTCATTTGTTTTATCACCACTCTGTCAGTGCGAGCAAATGCAAATGAGAAGCGCATTGAAGTGGGCGGGGCATGACAGATACTAGAGAGCATTTGATTGGTTATGATTTGATGAGAAACTGAAGTAAGAGCTGACATGTATAAAACTCAACTTCATTTAGGTGGAAATGACAAACTACGAGCTTTACATGTTAATATCAGTTTTATATCTTCTAAACGTGAGTTTTGGAGCACACTCGCTTGTAGATATCTTAAGAAATAACAATAGGGATACTAACATATAAACCCCTTCATTATGTTAACATCTTTGTTTGTTTCTCAGGATTGACTGCCTCATCAAAACAGTACGAACTGAAGGATACTTTGGCATGTATAGAGGTAAGATTCACTCTATTGACATGTTAGATCAGCATAGACTCTTAAACGGCATGATGGGTACACCTGAATAGACCTGAGAGAATCCAGTCCATGGTTTTGGAAAATGAATTAGAGTAGATTGGCTGACGATGGATAATTAACTATTTTTTTGGCTCTTTGTAGCGCTGAAATGGCAATATTGAAGCATTTCGGTTAACTATCTTATATTAGAGAGAACTTTGGCTTGTAAATGGCCATGCTAACAGTCTAAACTTGAATACATCTTATTTTTAGCCCTCTGATTCATGTGTATTTTAACCATTCTGGATTGTATGTAAGTCAATATTGTGTGATTTGAATCTCATGCATAATTCTATACGAGTTCTCATTTTATAATGGGTATGGATATTAACACATAAGATCAAACTCCAATATTTTGACAGTCTGGGTCAGCTTGCACATTATTAAAGTATAAATTTAGACAATAAATCCTAGTTTTAATTCATGATTGTATGTTCAACGTGTAACTGCTGATCCACCCTCTTTAAATTTTACCTTTTACCTTCTATTTTTAATAGGCAAACAATATATTTAGCAAGAAATAGTTTTTGAATTCAATAATCCTCTCAAATAAATACATTTTTTGTAATGAATAATGCATCAGAGGGTAAAAATGAAGCGAGTCATGCATGTTGTTATTACATCTGGTAGATTTGGCTTGAGTTGTGCTACTATAAGTGTCCTTGAAGAGTGTTTGGAGATTGGAGTCGGTGTTTTGTGCCGGGTCTCCGTTTCTGTGAGGAATGCTGTTGTTTGCATCTGTGTTTTTCATGTTACAGACATGGGTCCCCGCTGGGATAATGAAGGCTAGCCGATAAGGCGCAGCCACGCTGGAGGCAAATCATTTATCATGGTTCTTACCCACTCTGCTTTATTACAATTAGGCACCAACTTTATTTTGATTTTATTTATTTATATAGATAATTGTTGAATAATATTATACTTATTTTGCTGCTTTTTTTTTTTATAGACTCATCTATTTTGTTTTTCATCTTCCACTTTCTTCACTCTCCTTGCTCTGGTCTCATTCAGTACTAACCCATCTTGCCATGTTCTGTTAACATCTAGAATGTTTGGTTAGATATTTTTCCACTATCACTTTACGTTCATTTTCTGTTCTGTCTTTTAAGATCAGTTTGTAATTCAAGACAGTGATATCTTAAAATAACATGGTCTCAGTTAGGACTGGGCAGTATGAAAATATTTTACCTCTGAAGTCTTTGATATGTGTTACAGTGCCTGATCTTGATAATGTAATGAGGCAAAATGCTTCACAAAATAATTTGCAGAAAAGTAACTTTACTTAGTAAAGTCGATTTGAACAACCTTGTATATAAAGGGCTGGTGTAAGTGTAAAAAAACAACCGATTTTCACTTCTTCGGTTACAAAAACTATTCAAGTTGCAGTACAAATGTAATTAAGCAACATTTGAAACCATCATTGGTTTATCTGCTCTGTTAATGCTATGGTTGGCACATTTCAAGACGTTGCTGACTGATTGTTTTCTTATTGTAGACCAATTTAATGCTGCCCTAACAGCTCTGCAAACTCTTTAATTTGACACGCTCCATGCTTCAATTGAGTATATTGTCATACTACACAGCCCTAATGTCAGTCTCTTTCTGGAATGTGCCTGCATTCACTTGTCTCACTATATTCATCTCAATGTTCTGCCTATTTCTGTACTACCTGTTATGTACTAGTTATTTAGTTTTTTGTTTTCATATCATGTAAAATCCCCCTCCATCATCATCATCATCATCTTACAGTTCTGTTATAAGCTTTGCTTATTTTTCAGTCCGTTAGTGGTATTTTAGTCTTCCTACTGTTTGAATGGTATTTGATAAGGTCATGTTGTACATTTATATCTGGTTTGATGGTGGTGGGGAATGTGTTTGCTGCTGATCTGTGATCAGTTGTGGTTTTCTTTAACCCTCTGTTTGTTTGTCTTTTAGGAGCTGCGGTTAATCTTACCCTGGTCACTCCTGAGAAGGCCATCAAACTGGCAGCGAATGACTTCTTCCGGTGCCACCTCTCTAGAAATGGGTACGTTTGCTTCTACTGCGTTTGGTGAAGCATTAAAAGGGCTGCAGAACATCTAAATCTTCATTTTGCTGTTTTACAGGAGAGGGCTGAATGTATTTAAAGAGATGTTGGCTGGATGTGCTGCTGGCATGTGCCAGGTTATCGTTACTACTCCAATGGAGATGCTGAAAATTCAACTGCAGGATGCTGGGAGACTCGGTGGGTTCACTCTCTTATCAGTGCAGAAATTCTTTCATTTACATCAATTTGTGCCTTTTGTCCAAAACAACCCTTCATTGTGGGATTGATATATTTTATCAGTAATTACCAACATTACCCCATTATTTCTCAGAGTAACGTCTCTGTTGTAATCTGTTCCACTAGAACGTATCGGTCAACATTTGAAGTAGATCAAGATAAGTGTATGTAAATAGTCTAACACGATTGCACAACACCTGTTATGTCCTAGGATAGTTTAGAAAATCTTTTGATCCTCTTCAAATGTTGACCACTGTACATCACAGGCAGAGCCACACCACCCTATTATGTAATTGAGCAGAACAATAGTTGTTTTTCCAGAAAGTTCTCTTTTGGCATGTTGATTCACACTTCTGAAATGAGCACTTTTTAGCTTGGCTTTGTTCATAGTGGTAGTGTTTAGCCTTTACGGTTCTCACTGAGATGTGTTGAGTTACGCTAGAATAACTTTTGTGATCCTCATATTCCCAGCTGCCCAGCAGAGAAAGCCAGGCCTCATTCCTCCTACCAGACTGGCTGCGAACACTGTGCTGTGCCGCTCATACAACGTGGTTCCCAATTCATCAGCCAGAGCCGTATCTGCAACCCAGATCGCTAGAGAGCTGCTGCACACTCAGGGCATTCAGGGGCTCTATAAAGGCCTCGGAGCAACTCTGCTGAGGTGATGCATGCTAAAATCTCTGCTCTAAATGTCGACATGCACACTAATGACAGTGTAAATTAACATGTGGTCTTTTTTTCACTCTTTTAGAGATGTGCCTTTCTCGATCGTCTACTTCCCCCTCTTTGCAAATCTGAACAAGTTGGGCAAACCCTCCCCTGATGAGGCGGCGCCATTTTATTGGTCCTTCATCTCTGGATGTGTTGCAGGCTCAACAGCTGCTGTTGCTGTCAATCCATGTGATGGTAAGAGGATTTTTTTTTCTCTCCCTTTCGTATTTCGCTCTTTAGCAGTGAATTAAAGTGCCCATCCACTTAAAAGTTTTGTTTGGCTTTAACGTGTAATTTATTCAAAGAAATAATGTCAGCTTTCTTCATTTAACTCTTTAAAAAATAGTTTAAGTAAAATAAGATGAATTATTTAAAATGCAGAATAAAAGTTTCTGTGTTTGAATGTTAATAATGAGCTCTATCTATCTCTAAATATATATATATATATATATATATATATATATATATATATGTGTGTGTGTGTTATTTTTTATATATATATTTATTTATTCATTATTATTGCTCTTTAGATTTTTAATTGTTTTTTATTTATGATTATTAAAAAATTTATTTATTATTTTTATTTGTTTTAATTTCTTTATTTTGTATTTTTATTTTTGTTTGTTCAGTTGTAAAAAAATTTATTGTTTTAATAAATTTTTCATATATTTTTTATTTATTATTATTGTAATTTAGATTATTTATTTTTATTCATTATTAATTCTTATTGTTTTAAATTCTTTTTTTTTATTTATTTTTATTAGTTTTAATTTCTTTATTTTGTATTGATCTTTTATGTATTATTTTGATCTATTTTTAATTTATTTTTATTTAAATTATTTATTATTTTTATTTTCTTTAGTTTTTTATTTATCTTTATTTTTTTTCATTTATTTATCTTTATAGATTTTTATAATTATTTTTGAATTATTAATTAATTTATTTTTTATTTATTTAATTAATTTTTTTTTTTTTTTTTACTTTATTATAATTATTTCTTTATTCCTAAAATACTTTGCATCTGATATAATATGTATGCAAATATGTATTTTACCACACTTGTAAAGTGCTAAATGTTTCAAAATGCACCTTGATAATGCTTAAATTTGACTCTGGAAAAGCTGTAAGAGCCCTGATGCCTCACTATTGTTGTTTCTGTGCAGTGGTAAAGACCAGACTGCAGTCTCTGAGCAAAGGAGCCAATGAGGATACCTACAGCGGCATCGTTGACTGTTTCAGGTGATTGATCAATCCTGTTACTGTTATATTACCTTTAAACAGATCTCCAGTTGTGAAATGTGAGTGCATCATCTACCCTGCATGACGTTTTCCTTTATTTCTTCACTTCTGCAGTAAGATCATGCGGCGTGAAGGCCCGTCTGCTTTCCTGAAGGGTGCGGGTTGCAGAGCGCTAGTCATCGCGCCGCTCTTCGGCATCGTGCAGGTCATGTACTTCCTCGGCGTGGGAGAGTTTATCGTGAGCCAGACCCAGCTAAAGCTAATCTCTGACTGAACACACATCGCTACCTCAGAGCGCAAGAGACTGTACATTACACAACAGAAGATAAACATTAATCAAGATGGCGGCGGAGGAGGAGATGCCAAGAGAACGGCAGCTTCTGCTCTGGTTTGCGTTCCTGTGAGTTTTTAAACCAGCCTTACCGCACTTCCTCTATGGTTTACAGGCTTATCTGATGAGCCGTGATGAGCCAGCATTTTGCACTTGTTGGTAAGGCATGTGTCTGGAGGAGAGAGAGCGCTTTAACACACGATTATGTTTTTTCTAGAAGCATATGTGAAAGTTTCCCCTCAGTGAGGGAGACCGGTGTCGCTGTCAAGACACTGACTTCTTCCTTTTCTCTCTCTTTTCCATCTGTTCTCTTTGTACAAATTCTTTTTGTATTGAACTGTCTCTTCTTTCCTACTCAGTTCCTGTATTTGTCAGTCTTTCTCTGTTTTCAGTGTCTAAACTTGAATCGAGTTACTTGAAATGCTTTTAAAGCCTTCAGAGTTTGTAACTCTCTAGTTTTAGGGAATGTCATTGACCTTTTATTCTGTTTGGTACTATCACATGCGCGCGCACACACACACTCTCTTTCTTGCTACATTTGAGTTTGTAAAAAGAGCTGATTTGGGTGAAAGTGTGTGAGGTGCAGTCTAAAATTCAGGATTATTTTGATGACTACCGAAAACAGGCATTTGATGCATATCGTATTTATGCAAGATTTTGTCACTTTGAAGACATGATATTATTATTTTCCATTACATGGACCAGTATGTTACAACTGTAGCTTTCTGGATTTTTCAACCACCAAAAGCATGGGTCATATTTTCAGTTTTTAGGTCATGTGTTTGTCTTAAAGGTGCAGTATGTAAGTTTGACACTCTATTTTGATCCAGAAATACCGAATTTAACCACTAACGCAAGTGCAGGTTGCCAGATTGTTGACACCAACAGGAACGAGTCTGACTTGTTTAAATTATGTTTAAAATAAAAGTAACGGCATGTGATAGTGTCCCAGGGGTTGCATTTCGGTCACGAATGCATACTTTGAGAGCCTTTCTAAGTAAATGAATGAAACGCACAGCTTTCCACCAAGGCAACCTGGAGTGCTGAAATATTGGCTAAACTGACAGGGGGGAGGTTAATAAGACCAAAACACAGACAGCCGTTACAGCATGTAACAAACATTTTCAAAGCAGAATATCTGACCTCAGCATTGTTTTTCAGAAAATAAGACTGTTCTGTTAGCATGTTTCTGAAATTCCTGCAAACATATGGTATTTATAAGTATATTAAGTATTAGAAGAGTCAAAAACGAACATACAGCACCTTTAAACGTACATGATGTGCAAAGTCTTGTCAGTTTGAGGTTCCCGGACTGTTTATTTGTCTACAGTATTAACATTAACTCATGAATATTCCTGTTCTGCTGAAATGGTATTAATCAACACTGCGAAAATAAAAACCAATCAAATGTGTTTGTGTGAGCTGTTTTATTGTTTGACCATATTTCCTCATTTCAAAGCTATTTACATGCAACGCGGTGCTATAAAAATAAGCATGAACCCAAAACTGCAAACATGTTTATAACGGGGCTTTTGTCAGTTATAAAGGCACATGACTACTAGTGGGTCAAACATTACTCAAAACTCACAGAAGCAAAATATAAAAAGGGAAAAACAGTGTAAGATATGTTTGATCTCCCAGTAATAAACTGCTGCTTCAACTTTAACAGATGCAAAATCAGCCACTTGTGGAAAATAACACGCATTACCCAGGAGCCTCGTCTGGCCGCTCTCGAGTCAAAGCTTCACACATGAGCTGCAGTTTATGCACTATTTTATAAACAAGGTCCCCGATTTGCACACCAAACAAAAAGATTACAAGGGCGATGCTTGAGTCAAAATTAATCAACTTTTTTTTTTTTTTGATGGACCAACATATTTTGAAGTCTGAATATTCAGTTTTCTATAAGCAGCTTTTTATTTTCAGCGCTGCAATTGTTACGATTAGGGCTGCATGATATTGGAAAAATCTGACATTGTGATATTTTTTGATTTTGCGATATAAATACAACTTGACCAGACTGAATCTCTATTAGGAAAGAATTTATAATGTTCAATTGTGATGATTCTGCAGTGGGAGTGATCTCCATCAAATCTAACAGACAATCTCTACCTTTTTTTTAAGGGTCTCCCGACACGTTGCTATTTGCAGTGCATTTCTGTATTTGCATGTGTTGTGAGTATTTTCATGCATTAAGTCTATAAATACAATCAGAAAAAAGATCCAATTGAAATCAAGACTATGCAGTATTATTTTACATCTGATTATTCAGTTACTGTACACCTGAATACATTTCCACTCCTCAGAAAACAATAAAAACCCTGTTTATTTAATTAGTTTCTTTTTCTTTATTGAACTTGTAGATTGTTTATTATAATTTATGCACTCATATACAGAATCATCCCAATCAATCTAAATTTGAAATTGTTTCCAAATGTTTATTCAGCTCATGTAGTGAAATTGTATTCATATCACAATATAAAACGCAGAATAACAAAAATATCGCACTGTTTGATTATTTTAATATGCAGTCCTACTACATGTATCATTACTTTTTGCAATGTCTTAAATGGCTATTTATACGTCTTGTAGGCCATATTTTTCTTTATTAATATTAACCAATCACCGATTAGATATCTGCAACATCATAAATAACATCGTTTTGATTAAAAACATTTACAAAACTTACAAAATCAAGTGTTTTACTCTGAGTTCAAGTTGACTTGAGGCATCTTTCTCATGCTCAATCCTTGGCTTCATTCAGTATCTATATATGATGAGGCAAAATTACAAGAACCAATTATTAATAACCAGCGAAACACAATCAACATATGACCCATCAACATCTATTAGCGCAGAAAACGGTCTAGTTCACTCAATAAATAATTAAAAGAAGAGGAGAAGCGGGCGATCAGTGAAAAGCGTATTTACATCAGTGAGTAAAAGTCCAAACAATAAAAGTCTGAAATTAATTCAAGACTCAGGACACACACACACAAAATCTCTATATTAAAGGCATATTTCAACCCTAAATTGAGCAAACCCTCCCTCAAAATGCAGTTTACTTCATTATCCACAGACTAGCCAAGATGGAGGTTTATCTTTAGTAGAACAGAAATGATTTTAGGGTAAACCGTCTTCATAAAATGGCACTTTAATGCTAAAAATAAAAACAATCAGTCAAGAAAGTGTTCATATTGTTAGGCCTATATCAGGGGGTGTCCAAACTCGGTCCTGGAGGGCCGTTGTCCAGTAGATTTTAACTCCAACTTGTCTCAACACACCGATAAGGATGTTTCTAGAAAGTCTAGATCAGGGCTGTCAAACTCAATTCTTGGAGGGCCGAAGCCCTGCACAGTTTAGTTCCAACCCTTCTCCAACACACTTACCTGTAGGTTTCATACAAGCCTGAAGGACTCAATTAGTTTGATCAGGTGTGTTTAATTAGGGTTGGAACTAAACTGCAGAGCTGCGGCCCTTTGGAACTGAGTTTGACACCTGTGCTCTAGATAGAGCTTGATTAGCTAGTTCATGCGTGTCTGATTGGAATTGAAACTAAACTTTGCAGCACACCGGCAATCCGGGACCGAGTTTGGGCACTCCAGGCCTATATCCTTGATTTGTTTAAACTAAAAAAAGTGATCTACATATTGGAAGCCATTTTGAGTTATTTTGGGTGAAGTGTCCCTTTAAGAGAGATCAGGTTTAAATTAAAGAACAGTACTGCGCTGTGTGGAATGTTCCCCGTGTGCTGCTTCAGTAATAAATAATGGAAGAGGAAATTAAAGTACTGGTTAATGTGGTTACAGCAGGCGTCCATGCAGTGGAGCTGATCTTCAATGCAAGAACAGAAAGACAGAAAGGATCGGAGACAGAATGCTGAACGCCGCACGGCCTTATGGGAGATCCGGATGGGCTCTGAAACAGTCCAAGTGGGCGAGCGGGAAAACCAGATGGTCCTAAATGACCTCTCTGCTGTTTCTGATAGCGCAGCATAAGACCATGCTGAAGATCATGCCGATCACCTGCACAACACACACACACACACACACACACACACACACACACACACACACACACACACACACACACACACACACACACACACACACACACACACACACACACACACACACACACACACACACACACACACACAGATCATGTTCACATTCATCAACACTCCAACATTACTGCAGTACCAGCGTTATACAGTTGCAGTTACATTTTTTTTTTCTTTTTTTAACCCCATAAAGCCGCACATATTATATTTGATACACGAGTTTCTAAGACGTATATAACATCAACCTGATCAATACTTTGTTTAAAAACCTGTTGTACATGATGTTAACGCCATCTTGTGGCTGAATGTACTGCTTTTGTAATTAAAATCATAATTGTTTTGAGCAAAAAGTTGCCTGATGTATCAAATGGGATACAAAATAAATGTCATGAAAAAAATTATATGGTAATTTTTATTTTTTTTATTTTGCTTAATGGTTTAATAAACATCCCAAAACCAGAAAATCTGAATTTTCTGACTCTTTTTTGAAATGTCAGGTCTTACAGTGTTAAATATTTCCCAACTGATGTTTAACAGAGCAAGGAAATGTTCACAGTATGTCTGATAATATGTTTTCTGGAGAAAGTCTTATTTGTTTTATTTTGGCTAGAATAAAAGCAGTTTTTATTTTTTTAAACACCATTTTAAGGACAAAATTATCAGACCATTTAAGATATATCTTTTCAATAGTCTACAGAACAAACCATCGTTATACAATAACTTGCCTAATTACCCTAACCTGCCTAGTTCACCTAATTAACCTAGTTAAGCCTTTAAATGTCACTTTAAGCTGTATAGAAGTGTCTTAAAAAATATCTAGTCAAATATTATTTACTGTCATCATGACACAGATAAAATATATCAGTTATTAGAGATGAGGTATTAAAACTATTATGCTTAGAAATGTGTTGGGGGAAATAAATCTCTCCGTTAAACTGAAATAAGGGGGAAAAAATTCAGGGGGGCGAATAATTCTGACTTCAACTGTATGTCTAGGGAAGATGTTATATCTTCTTATATTATGTTTCCTTGAGGAAAAGGAAAGGAGGCTTATCACAGCACTTTGCAAAATCTGTTACTTTGTAAATAATATGAGCCATCCATGTTAATTTAAGAAATGTTCATCCCATTCATGTAGATGTGCTTATTTTCAATGGGCTGTTTTATATTTTGAGTTTCCACATGGCAGACGAATATTTGATATTGTTTTAGGTTTAATTGTGTACTTTATTGATTGATTCTTTGTGTTTTGAATGTATTCAACATGTAAATGTATTTGTCATATGTCGTAGTTTATCTTCTCAGTGTTTAAGTTAGTTTGTGAACAGCTAGCTTGCTATTAATTTAGCAGTAGCCACACTCACATTATCTTGTTATAATTGAATATTCACTGTAATCCGGAAAGTTATTTTGTGATGTGTTTTTTGTGGGAAAGTTGTCGCAGGGCCGTTTCTCACATGAAAGTGACAAATTTGGGAAAGGAGTCCATTTCATGGAAAACTAATCTGTTTGACTCTGGTGTCCTCCAGACATTTATGTAAGCAAATACGTTTAAATCTATACTTGCATCTACAATCACATGTATCTGCTTGTTTGGCGCCATCTTGTGACTGAATAATCTGTAAATTAGTATGTGCCTTATTCCACCAGTTTCGTTTCTGTCAGCTTTGCGTTTGTGACTGTTTAACGCCATCTTGTGGCTGAATGTGCCGCTTCAGCTTCACTTCTGTTTCTGACAGAAACAGAAAAAAGCATTGCGTTTGATAAAATATTTCATAAATATTAGGCTCAAAACAACTTCTAATAATTATGTTTTGTTATGCATGTACAGTACAGTACATGTTTTTGCAGAATAAAAGCCCTTCAAACTAGGCATGGGACAATAACCATTTTCAAGGTATACTGTGGTTTGGATAGTAAAGGTTTTAAAACCGCCAAAATATTCCATAATACACTTCCAAAGGTATGTGTAATGTTAAAAATTTTTTAGGACAATAGTATCTCCAGCAGAAAAGACATCCAAATATTCCGTCTTAAATTGTGAAGAAATCTGTGCTTGTGAAACTAATGAAGACAGCAGAAGTCAATGATTCATTTTCATTATCCAGCCTGACATGTTTACTGCTCCAAAATATTTTAAATGCTTCACAAAATAAAATATATTCTGTTCAAAGGGGAAAAGGGAATTTTGTTTTTTGACCAGACATTTAAAAATAACTTATTTTAGAGCAGTAATCAGAACACTGTGATATTTTTTATCCAAGGTTATCATACCGTCCGAATCTTATACCAGCCCATACCTACTTTAAACACACTTCATTCTGCGATGACAACTACTGGATGCACTTT